AAGATTAAGGAACAACGCAATCTGCAACATTAACTGAAATAGATAATTTTAGCTTAGCTTATCCCATCCGTTATACATTAAACGCGCATTCGTAAACGTATTTTGCGCATGCGCACACGCAAATTCGCAGCGGTAAAGGTCTTACGCGCATGTGTCAACGCGATGCATGCGCAGAAAGTTTGTAGCTTTGAGGTCCGGATTATAGATCATTCCGGATTATGGGTGTCTGAATTAACGACTTTTGACTGTACTTTTTTTTCCTTGATTGTTGCCCATCATATGGAAAAATGTTTTTTGAATGGTATAGATTCCTTTCTCAGGTAGTGTTGTACCTTTCACATAAACTTATTTACTTATTTTTATTGATGTTGTGATGTACCATATGAAACACTTCTGCACAGTGTCCTTTTGAAAACTTGTAGTATCCGTAGTTTTTGCACACTAGTGTATACATTTGTATGATATTTTAAAATTGCTGTGAATTTGTTTTTATGAATTGACAAAATTGAAATAATGTTTTCAGTGTTATATATTTCTCACATCTTGGTATGCATTTTTATCATTGATGAAAAAGTTTTGTAAAAGCTGTAGTATGACCTTTTTTATTGATAATTTTTTCCATTATAATTTTTTAAGATAATTCCCCCCAAAATTATTTAAAAAGTGTGCTAAAGTTTTAAAACTTTGTTGTTTGCCATTTTGTTCATTTTTCCTTAAATGATAAAGATGTAAACATTTGTGGTGAACTTATAAATGCTCATCATAATGCAGTATAAAAGGCAAACTGGAGTATTGACAATGTGATTTAATGACAAACTGTTAATTCTTGAAGCATATTATTACATGTAGTATACTGTTTATATAGTTATCGTGTTCGTTGTAGTTAAAAAGGAAAAAGTGCGTCATGGTACTTACCTATTACCCCGCTGACCATGAAAGTTGAGTACCAAAGCTCCACCAACCGTTCTTGTGGAATTCTGAAATAACTGGCTCCTCTTTATTTAATCAACTATCAACCCACTTTTTTTTTTTTTTTTTGCTTTTTCTTTGATTTCTACTATTTTGTTAGGCTCTTTAATTTTACTGGAAGCTCTGTTTAGAACAAATTTCCAACAAGTAATTTTTCCAGTCGTACTGTTTTGTTGGCCATATGCAGCTGACCATATTGTGTCTTTTAACACATATGTTTTTTGATGGTAGAATCCCATAACTTTGAAAATAATTCATTGTTGTGTGCTGTTCTGTAGGAGGTAGGTCTCAAATTTTAATCCATTTTTAAAATAGAAGGGAAAAAATACAGCAATAACAGCTAATTTTTGTCATTTTTCATTAAAACAAAATGTGGCTTATTTAGAATCACTCAGGGTTACATGAAATGAAAGATGTTATGAATGCATTATTTCATCACAGTTATTAAACACATAAAACCTGGCTAACATTTTGACGGTCAACGAGATAATATATTAAATGCCTCATCTTTCAAATGTACTTTACTCATTACTTCGCTTTTACTTTCAAATGTTGCACCATTTCCTCGTGTTCAAATTTTGGTGTTCTGACTGAAAATTTTTAATGGTGGTTAGGATAGCAGTTCTGTTTGATTTCTAACATGATTGAATCTGTCTCTTAAAGTACAAAAAGGATGAAATATAAAAATTCAGAATAAATGTAGGAGAGAGGAAAAATTTACAATAGATGTAGTTTAATAATAACAGTACCATAGATTGTTAGCAGGCATAGCATAATGTTATGACCATTTTCACATTGTTTTTCCCATGGTAAATTACATGTTGCCAACAGAATGATGGCAAATGGTACAACTGATACCAAACGGAATATCCTCGCTGATAACCTTTTATGCCTCATTTTCAAAACAAGTCACAAACTATTTCTTATCAGATTGATTGTTTCTTTCAATACTGGCATACAATTACATAGAATTTTTTCCAGATAGTTCAATTTTATGCCTTAAGGCCATTCGAGGTAATTAAGTCAATTAGGACTGCTCACTCGAAGGCAAAAATATAGAAAAGGCAAAGTCAAGGGTTAAATTCATCAATTCTGATAAGAATGCACTAGAGAAGTAAAGCACTGCAGTTTTACATAATTTCTGAGTAAGCTATTCGTACGAATTGAAATAATTCTTTCATTTAAACCTGTATTCCAAATTAAGATTTAACTTGAAATTAATGTGGATAATTACTGAGAGTAATAGATTTTTGTAGCGTAGTTTACGTGAGATGAGATCACTTGGAGTCATGTGATGTGAACCGGTGAATCAGGATGTTGAACCATAAAAGCATAGTAAATTCTCAAATTAATGTCTTTTTACAAATTTATTTATTGGCTTTATACAAAATTTTTAAACTATATTAAAATGTTTATCTCTTCAAAATAAAAAATTCTTAAGAACTAACATTTGTTAAAATTTTTTATGTGTATACTGTATGTTGTCGTCAATAAAGTCTGATTGGCAAGATTTGCGCCGCCAGAACGGAAAAGTACCGAAATAACATACATTATGAACTTAAAAATTTTCATTTTCGGATGACATGATAAGTTTATCATATTCATTTTCTGTTACATCTTCAGGCACATGATCGAGTCCTGCTTCATCTTCATTTTCAGTGTTACTTTGATCCATCAATAAATAATTACCTATTCCATTTAGATTGTTAGATGCATATATTTTTAAGCCCTTTTTGAATTATATCAGTTTTAATTTCATTCCATGCATTTATTATCCATTCACATACTATTTCTAGACTGGCATTGATGCATTTGGCCTCATTTTATAAATGATTTACTTTCTAACATCGACATATTTAACTGTTGTTTTAAAATTTCTCTGAATAGTTTATTGATACATGCATTTAAATGAACTAATGGCATTAATCTGCCTGGAATCACTACCATGTCTGTAATACCCTCTTTCAACAATTTCTTCTTATTATCTGTTAAATGGGATCTGAAAATGTACCATGGAAAGGAAATATCTGACTCCACCGAATTTATTCAAGTCAGAAATATGTTCTTATCCCAAATTAATCCCCTTTTTCTCGAAAGCCTAAAATAACATTCTTATGTGCATCTGCATTTAATACAATTTCTTTGCAGAATTATTTACTCCCTCAAGCATTCCCTCCATACACATATTGTTCTTATTGTTTGTGAATTCAGTATATCATTTTTCGAATGCCTGGGAAAAATCTTCGAGGGAATAACTTCACAAGATAAGAGCATCACATGTGTATCTTTCAGGTTTCGTTATAAAGAGAAGGGTACACATTATACGGCGAATATACCTAAAAATTAAAACATGCAGTTTGAAATTATAGGTGTGCATTATACACCGGTGCACATTATACATTGGAACATATGCTACTTTCACTAAGGTAATAAATTTATCAGTTATTTTAAGCTGTCCCTTCATGTAGAAATGAACAAATTAAATATTTTCTAGAAATGCTTGCATGTTTTTGTACAGTTGGCATCAATGTGAATTTATTATATACAGTGGATGCTTGTTAATTTGAACTTAAATATTCTCAGAAAAAGAATTCGAATTATCCAATGTTAAGAGAAAAAGTAACTTTAAAAGTGTATCAGTGAAGAAAAAAAAATTTCCTAGTATATCCTAATGCTGAAAATATATTATGCTATATTATCTAAAATTAAACATATTAAAAAGCAGTAAAGACTTATCTTAATTATAAAATGAAGCAGAAGGTTATGCAGTAGAAAGTAAACTTTAATTAAAAATATGAATTACATTTTATGGGAAAAACTGATTACAAGCAGTGAAATCAGTGCATGTTTTCATTTACATTAGAATTTACATTACACACAATTTGATAAGAAATATTGTATCCTTAATTTAAATCGAGAATACCATTCATCACTGCATTTAAAATCTTCAGTGCCCATTCTACTCACCAATTCATCAGCCTTCACCTGTAATAGAGGTATATTTATAGGAAAATTTCGAGGTCTAACCTTCTGGAATCATAGCAGTAGAGCTTTTTCTAGGATTCATTTCTCATGCATTTCCTTCCTTTAGCAAATTTAGAATTTTCCCATGAATCTAAAAGAAATTCCTTGTTTTTCTAATAAGTTGACAAAATATTTTTTTTAATTCCATAGTCAGCCGTTTTACATTCGCCATTCTCTAGTTTCATTAAAATTTTAATCTTTGTCTCCAAAGTTAGAATTTTGTTTTTTCCACGTGTTGTTATATTGAATTTTTACATCTTCACACCACACACTGAGGAAGAAAAAGTAGAGCACATTAACTTCTCTGCAGTGCAGGCTCAGCTGACGCATCTATATAGAATAAAGATCGGATTATCTGAAATTCTTAGAAATTTAATAACAAACAAACGATTCTCCTTATACCCATTCATAAAGGGTTCTGAATGAATCCAAGGAAACAGGTTAGGCCAGGGAGTTTTGTCCATTAAGCATTGATAAGAGGTGGACAGTAGGACAATAGCTACTAATGTTTAGTGCAAATGCTATAGTCTAGGAAGGTAGGCATATGTCTCTTTACACAGAAAAGAAATACATATGATGTTGACACAAAAATAATAAATACAGCATGGATTTTCTCCGTTAAATGAGGAAAAAGAATTTTTTTGTCAAATCTGTTGTTCGAATTAACTGAAATGATGAAAATTTAGTCTGACTTAATGAGATGTTTTTAACATTAATTCCAATACAAGTTTCTGCGGCCTTTTGGATTAGTTTGAATTAACTGAAGGTTTGAATTATCCAAACTCGAATTAATGAGTATCTACTGTATTAAAGGTATATTATATTTGTATTTGTAGTGGTCTTTTTATGTTGGAATCTCTGTTCAGAATCTACTCTTTTTCCCCCTTGCAACATTATGTGTTTCCCCCAAACTATGAAATTTAAATGTTTTAATGAATTATTAAAGTTTCTGTTTTAAAATATCTTTTGTTTTCATATTTTGTAATATCTATTAACTATATTTACAGATGATATTTTAAAGTTAATAAACCAATTCTACAAGCAGCCTGAAGTAAAAATACAGTCTGCTGAAAATGGACTTGATTGTAAGACTTTTTTTTTTTTTTCATATTTAATGATTTTTGTGTTTTTATTTATTTTCATACATACTGGGGCTGGCCTAGTTGATTTTAAGCTAATGATATGATTTCTTGAGTTTTGCAATTGACATTCTACTATGTTACTTTATTTTTCCCATGCACTTGATGACAGTGCCATCCTTAAGAAAAAAACGTTGTTCATGCTAATGAAGAGATTGGGAGCCCTGAAAATGTCCTATTAAAATTATGGAAAGATTATTATTATTATTATGGAAAGATTATATCATAGAAATGCTTTGCTCCCTTATTTAAATGTTAACAATAACTACTAATATAGAAGTAAAGATAGGATTATTTGTAGCAGATATTCAACAGAAGTTAAAATATATGTATAAGAACCTCACATCTTTCTGCTTAAAATCTCTGTTCTCTATTATGTTTTACAATCGGCTAAAATAAAGGTTTAAAAAAAATACTGCAGTTAAATAGTATTTTTATGATACTTGCTATCGTTGTTGAGTAGAATGGGTCTCCTCCCTATAATTGACCTTGAAGAAGTTAGCATACGTGCACACAAGAGTTTTTAGAATGGAGTGCATGGTAGCATAAAATGTAGACTCTACTTAGAAGACGAAGTAGTAAATACTCGTTATGTCTTTGAGCAATAAATACTGCAGAAACTAAATTAAACAGATGCACGCACTATGTACTCACAATTCACCACCACGTGTGGCTAACTAAACTAACAAAAAATAAAAATGTAAAATGCGCATTAAATTAAGATAGCTAATGACTGGCTCTTTAGCTTAATTAAATGCTAAATTGGCTGCACAGAGCGAAGCCGAGCCTAGAAATGTCAGTATAAACTGAAAAGTGTCTAACACCGACTGGAGAGCTAAATTCAAACACGCAGCATAAACTCCAAACTCACTCCGCTACTATTCCTTTCAAACTCTTGAAACACATACTGCTTAAATACTGCTTCTGAAACACATTTACATTAGCATAGTACGTCTGTTAAAATTTACATTCTGACAGAAAACTGAAATCAGGAGGGAAAGGAAAGTAAAAGTAATAATAATTGGCTAGAATTAGAATAAAATAAAGTCTACAGTATTTCCTGCGAACATTTAAATATTTGAAAATTGAGGTCTTTAAACTACCTTGTAGTGTCATTAGGTTAATTGGAAGCAGAAGATGAAAAATATGATGAAAAATATTCGGCAGGAATCGAACCATGGACCTCTGGAATACCGGCCCAGCGTGCTACCGTTACATCACGAAGGCACGCTAGGAAAGTGGGAGAAATACCTTCCATACTCCCCTTTTTAAAGGGCAACTAGGGTTTTAAGGGACCTAGTCGCCAAATCCTGGGTGCGGAGAATCATCATCCACAACCCTTTTAGTTCGAGTGCCACTTGTAGAGTCATTAGGTTAATTGGAAGCAGAAAAGATGAAAAATATGCAACCGCCTTCCGTGAATCGAACCACGGACCTCTGGAATACCGGCCCAGCGTGCTACCGTTACACCACGAAGGCATGCTAGGAAAGTGGGAGAAATACCTTATAACCTGTTCGAAAAATTTAAATTCTAACTTAAACTTGAAGAGCCAGCCTTACAGTATAATGCTACTTAAATGCTTTAAATCTGAAATTTAACAATACAAATTCAAGGAACTTAAGTTGTCATCTTAACTAACATTTTTGAGTCTCATGTCCTTCGACTGGATCTGGAAGGAAACTAATATTAGTGGAAATTCTAGATAATAAACGCATTTCACTAGACTAGAAAATGAACTTCATTTTCACTTTCAAAAGTTTAATTTTCCACCTCCTAGCTCTCCAGCATATGCTTGTACTGAAATTTTTAAATACAAGTGGGGTGTTTAAATAACAACTTTTGCTTCTGACCGATAGCCTACATGTTAATCCCAATATTCAAATTCATCCTAGTGTATTTCTTTAACATGCATTAACTTTGTGTTTAGCTGAAGAGCCTAACTATCATTTAACATATCTAAAATAGCTTTTAATTTTTCCTCCTCCTAGCTTTTATATTTTGCTAAATTTCAAGTTTCAATTTCTGAATATAGTTACAGCTAGTTTTACAAAGTTTCACATGCTTTGCATTCAGAAACACACATTTATATTAAACGCAATTGGAAAACACTATATTTCCAGTTTCTTACATCCAAATTAAGCAAAGTTGCTAGAAATAAATCATTTTATCTTGCTAAATTGTATAAAAGGTCTCTCTACCGAATGCCGTAATTCTTGATACAAACGAAAAGTTCTGTTGTGAAACTGATTAGCTGTATCTAACAGATATTAAAAACAAATCTCTTCATTTTGATGTACGAGACACAGATGGCGTTGGCTGTCATTGAAGTAGGAAGAAAAAAAGGGTTTTCCCCTTTCGACCTCGTGACGTGAACTGATTAAGTGTGTAATAACTTTCGGGGCCAGAAAAATTTCCCGACAATTGTTAAAAAATGTATATATTTTGTAGTATAGAGAGAATATAATTAAATAAATCAACATATTAGAGTTTTTATTACAGATTCAACATCACACTACCCAGGTAAGTGAGCAAGTTTTGTCTTTAGTTTTTCTGGATTGCTCGGTATCTGGGATGAGTGAAAGGAAGTATTTTTTTATTTTAATGATATTTAATGATAAGACTATGTTTTAGTAATAACAAAAAAGTGGCGTCCCGTGCCAGGACTCTAAGAAATAAACTTTAAAAAAAAATATTTTAATGGTTATAGATAGTTTTTGATGTATTAAAGTATAATTAAGTTTTAAATTCGAAACTATTTTTTTGTAAAGCAGTTTTGTTTTATTTTGAAAGTTAACTATGGAAGCTTTAAAGGCTCTGAAACTTAAACGGGCAGGTTTACGCACTTCTTTTGCAAAAACTGCTAATATTTTAAAAACGGAATTAGTAAAAGAAGATTTTTCTGTAGATTTAGTACAAGATAAACTTACTAAACTACAAAATGTATATTCAGATATAAAAAATGTAGATGATAAAATTCTTGATTTGTTAGCTGAAGACGGGAAAACTTTAGAGGATGATGTTACTAAAGAAATCGAAAGTCGCGAGGTGTATTCTGATGATTTCATAACACTAACTCGGCAAATTAATGAAAAATTGCAATTTTCAGATGAAATCAATTTAGAAACAAGATCAAATGATGGTGCTGGTACTTGTTGTAGTAAGATTAAACAGTATAGACTTCCGAAAATCGAACTTAAGAAGTTTGATGGGGGATTGATAAATTGGTTACCGTTTTGGTCGCAGTTTGAGAAAATTCACACTGACCCTGATTTATATGAAAGTGACAAATTTTCCTATTTGATTCAGTGTATGAAGCCCGGATCACGTGCTAAAGAATTCATTGAAAGCTATCCGGTGACTTCGTAAAAATTATGATAAAGCTGTTTTAGCTTTGAAGGAACGTTTTGGGAAACCTGAATTATTAGTAGAAGTGTATGTTAGGGAACTAATTAAATAATGTTTTTCTAATGTGAAGGCAGATCAAAAGGATAAATTACCTCTTGATAAACTGTATGATAAAATTGAAGCTCAGTTGAGAGCCTTAGAAGTCTTTAGGTCTTAAATCGAGCGAAAACACATCGTGGTTATTTCCGATGGTGGAATCGTGTCTCACAGAGGATGTTTTAAAGGCGTGGCAAAGGAGTTCGCTCTTTAACCAGCCTGAAGGAACTGATCTTTCTCGCCTTACCAACTTAATGAAATTTTTAAAGTCTGAAGTGGAGGGTGAGGAGAGATTAAAATTGGCGCGTAATGGACTCGATGGTGTTAGTCGTAAAGAAGGATATCATGATAAAGCAAAGAGGGAAACAAAAGGTAAATTTAAGAAACAGGGAAATGTTACCACTGCCACAGGTTTTCTTACAACCAGAGAACATGCATGTATTTTTTGTGGTAAAATGCATGATAGTAAAAATTGTTACGATGCACGTTCATTATCCCTTAATGAAAGGATTTCTAAAGTTAAGGAGAAAAAATGCTGTTTAAAATGCTTGGAACCAAATCATATGGCAAAGTTCTGTAAACAGTTTGTTAGGTGTTTTGCTTGTGGTAAATCACACTCAGTTATTTTGTGTCCGGACATTAATAATGAAACTGAACTTCCTACAGAAAAATCAGAAATAGACAACATACATATGGCTACAGCCAGGCAAACGTGTACCGCTGACGTAGCTTTAATGACTTTACTTACGCGTAAGAGTAGCTGGTGTCAAAAAGCATAAAGATGTTAGAGTACTCTTAGATTGTGGTTCCCAGAAATCGTATATTTTGAAAGTCATTAGCCACTGAATTGGGGTTACCAATTATTTCCAAAGAAAATGTTGCTCTTACTTTATTTGGAGGTGCCAGAACAGAGGCAAAGATGCATAACAAATATTTGGTAAAATTATGTTCAGCCAGTCCGCGTAAGTATTCAGATCTAGAATTTGAATTTTTAGATCAAGACATAATATGTGGGGATATACCTCGGGTACCCAAGGGTCCAATATTAAAAGAATTAAAACGAAACAACATTTGGTTGTCGGATCTGGGAGCAGATTGTCCAAAAATAGAAATGCTCATCGGTAGTGATATTTATGGAAAAATTCTCACGGGATCAGTAAAACAATTAAAAGGAGGGACTAACAGCAGTTTGTACAAAACTTGGTTGGACAGTTTGTGGTGTATCGGAGGAATTTGTTAATCACAAAGATAAAGATGCTTCCATTTTGTGTGCAAGTTTTAGTGGGTCACGACTTTAAAATCTCCGATCTTTGGAGTTTAGAAACGATCGGAATATTAGATGCTCACCAGAATTCAACTAACGCTGCTGAGGAAGAAATTGCCCACGAACAATTTTTAAACTCTCTTTCCAGAAACGAAGATGGTCGTTATTGTGTCGGATTACCTTGGTTAGTATATAACGCAGAATTGCCATCAAAATCGTCATGTAGCAGAAAAAAGATTG